TGGGAGGGGGTGGGCCCTAGAGGGTCCATTCCTTAATTGTTGGCTTCAAGATGGCGCAAGCCATGGGGCACACAGGTCCTGGGAGCTGCCAAAGGGCAATGTACTCAGAGTCAAGGTCGCCCAAGTCTTTCTGCTCCCTGAGCAGGCAGGAGATGGGGACGTCCCCTTCTGCTTCTACAGCTGGTGACAAGGGCAAAGCTGTCTGACCCACCTCTCCCACAGTGAATACCCTGGAGAGAAATGCATTCTTGACTTTTCTAAGTCACGTCTGGGTTTGAACTAGAACGGAGGCTGTTTCTCTCCAGCTGCAGCCCTTCTCCTTCCAGTAACTACATCCCTCCCTACCTCTGAAAGGCAGGTCCCAACTCACTACCTCCAGGAAGACCTCCAGGATCAAGCCTGCCCCTTGCCGCTCCCACCCTTCCTCCACGACCTTCTGGATTCCACTGACATGGCCCAAATGGCTCACACCTGGCTTTGTAATCATCTTTGGCATTTATTTCACAAGACTACCAGGTCTGTTCTGGTTTTTTCGAGGACACAGATCATGGGGTCTGTTAAATGTCTGTCTTCACTGAGTCTGGTGCCCATCTCGGATCACTTGGTAACAATTCCATCCATTTTATGGTTCTTGATTGTTCCAAAGAACTCTTGCCTGTTTGATCTGCTTCGTTCTGTCCAACGACTTAGTCAAGCAAGTTTTGAGATACCCATCCTACAGAAGAGGAATCTCCCATGGTATGTGGACAAGTCAAAACTTGAACCCCAGTTTAAAAGACAGAAGGGGAACCCTGCTATCAAAGAAAGAGCACATAAGGAACTGGCTGGTGATATAAATATTAATAACGTGGACAAAAAAATGTTGCCTGCCATATTTTAGGAAACAATGAATGTTGCCCACCATCAAACCATTGGCCACTGCTGGTGACAGTACACCCTGAGGGGGATATAGGGTGAAGAAAAACAGGATACTGGCCCTAGGCAGTTAAGATAAATATCAAAGGAATAATTTCAATGAGCCCAGACTCATACATCTTCCCATACGTAGAAAGGCACTAAAATCCTTAACTTGGGCTGCCTGGTTTTTGTGATTAGCAGTAATCTTTTCATGTTTAGCTGTACATGGTTTTTGTTTGTTTGTTTTTCAGTAAAGACTCCTATATATCCTGGCTTCTCCCTTACCTCTTTGGAACAGCTCCGCAGAGCTATCTGAGAGGCTGTCTTCCACACCATAGTCCTCAGTAATACCCCTGAATAACACATAATTCTCAACTTTTAGGTTGTGTGCTATTGTCGACAATAACATAATATCTACACGTAAAATTTTCAGTGTTTTTATGTCCATCGTGTCACTCTGACCCTGTGAGGTAACAGGAAAGATATTGATAGGCCCACTGGACAGTTGAGGAAACCAAGGCTCCCAGGTGTACACAGGAGCCCAGCTTACCCCATGGCTAGGAAGGACTTCATTTTGCAGAGAAGGAAACTGACAAAGATGCTGGGGTCTGCCCCGGATCACACAGCTGGAGGGAACACAAGGAAATGTCCTGAGCCTCTTTCTGTTCCACCAGGCCACCCCCAAGCCTGGCTGGGAGGCAAGAACCCACTCATCTGGATGATACAGGGGGCCCACCACCTGGCAGCCCCTAACACCCCAAGTCCTTCAAGATACCTGATCGCGCCATCACCTGCTCTGCGATCCCTGCCTTGGAAAGTGCCCCGCTATTGTGCAACCAGGCACGGGGCTGGGGCTGGGGCTGGCTCCATAAAGTCAGCAGCCGGCTGGCTTGAGCTGGCTGATCCTGGCCCCCTGGAGTTCAACTGTGACAGCAATGAATCACACTAATGGTGAGAGGTGGCCGCTCTCCCTCTCTGTGGCCTAGAGATAGGTATTTCCAAGGCTCCTCCCCTGGCTCAGACAAACACACCTGACCTACCCCCCACCATCTGTCTCACTCTCTCTGGGCCCGGGGTGAGGCAGAACTACCAGGGACAAGGTTGGGTGAACCAGACAGAGCTGGACCACTCTCCCACCCTGGCTCTGCCAGCCCATGATCCTGCGGAGGGCAGAACCCTCCTCCCCACAAGAAGAGAAGGAGCCCGCTGACCTTGGGGTGTGCTTCAGCCTGGCATCCCCCTCACCCACCCCTCTCTCCCTGCTGCTTGCACTGTGCCTCTGACTCTCTTCCAAGAACAATTTGGCAAGTTCCTATCCACAACCTGCAAAAAAAAAAGGGATGGGGAGGGCCACAGCCCAGGCGGACAGAGAAGGCAGACTGACCTTTTTTTATGTGGTACTAAGTAGCACCAACAGCTCATGCAAATAGACTTGAAAATCTTTGGAGTGAAATTCATGGGGAGGTGGGGAGCAGCGGGTACAGCCAGGAGGTGAAACGTGCAGGACACCTGAGATCTCTGAGACCCTTCTGGGAACTGGCACAGCACGACAGCTTTCCTGTTCAACCGAGTTACATCTGCTATATTCAGCCAAATCACAAATATAAGTTGTGTGCCTAGAGGCTGAGTGGACAGACGCGGTCCTGCCTGCACGAAATTCTGGCCCAGAAGGAAGACACACATTAAGCAGTGACCCATGCCTGGATTCCGGATTCTTCTGCCCTGGCCCTGCAGTGCTAGACCAAAGAGGAAGAAGCAGCTCATCCATTGGTTGGGAGGTAAGGGGGTCGTCAATTCAGGCCCGGACACTTAGGTCATTCTGGGTAGGTTCTCAGAGTCCATCTTGCCTAGGGGATCCTATCTGCTGGTTATTTTCCCTCACCTTGAACACTTCCAGTGACTGGGAGCTCACTCCAGTTTGGGATCACCGTAGCCTGGGGACTAAGCACTCACTCACAATAGGCCAAGTTTTACCTCCTGCTCACGTCCAGCTGATGGGCCTGGGTCCTCTCCTCTGTGGCACAGGGTCACACTGTCTTGGAGCTGGATGGGCCTGGGCTAGACCCTGGCTTTGACACCAGCAGTGCAAACTCGGGCAAGATCCACCAAGCCTCAGTTTCCTCATCTGTAAAATAGGGATGCCATCATACAGAGTCGTGAGTTCTGAATGAGTTGGTACACGTGAAGACCTCAGCCCAGTGTTTGGCACATAGTAAGTGCTTGATAAATGTTAGCTGCATCCATTCATTCGTTATTGTTATTATTTTGATCGCCAGTTTCTTTGACTGTTCTTTACGTGTCTTGTTTCCAGACCACTCACCTCTCACAGGACTCTCCTCAGAGCACAGTTCAGCTAGTTTATGCCCTGAAGGGACCACCAGGCTCCGGAAGCAGCCTCACCAGCCCAGATGATCCTCTTCCTCCATCTGGATATCAGCCTCCTTAAGAAGGAAGCCAGGCCACGTGTGTACTATAAAGAGCTCTGGAGACAGGCAGCCTGGGCTCAACTCCTAGCTCCTCTACCTGCCAGCCGTGTGGCCCTAGACCAGTTACAAGTTTATCAGAGAGAATCTACAACGTGAACATCTAGCTCAGCGATGATGCTGGATTACCAGCAGGAAAAATAGGTAGGTTCTCAGAGTCTGCCAGAGTAGAGGTAACCATCTTCTATCTATGCTAGAGATGAGAACTACCATTCCCTATTGTTAACATAATTATTATGAGAAAAATCAGAACCTCCCCACTGGACTTCCTTACACTTATTTCTGTAGTTTGTTTTCTTTTCAATAATGAATGTGGGGAGGTACCCACCAACTTTTGTGTGCCTGGGGCCTCTAAGGATCTTCATCCAGCCTTCCTCTGGAATCGCTGCAAAGCCTACCAATTCCCCGACACAGAATGAGCGTTCCATGACTGGGGGGTCATTAGCTTATTCCCAAAGTTTAAGCATGACCAGAGATGTTTTAACCATCATGATCTCTGGGCTGACAATGCCGAGCTTGACCTCAACTATAAGCCTCAGTCTTTTCAAGGACCTGGGGGACCGAGGGCCTAAGCAGTGGAGAAGGAGGACAGGCAACACGGATGTCCCAGGGGTGGCCAGGCGTGAGTGGCTAGACCCCCAAGTCCCTCAGGACCCATGCCTTGTTGAGTCTGCAGCTCCAAACAACTCAAGAAATCTAGGCAGACCCTATGAAGACTTTTTTGAGAACGTAAGGTGTTGCAGGCATTCTTAGGTCAGAACAAGACATAGCCCTTGCCCTCTAGGATTTGGGTCTCACGATAAAGACACATAAGACACGTAGAGGTGGGGGCCACACATGGGCGTCCTCCAAGGGAATCAGCTCACAGCTGTATTTGTTTGCCCAACAGTACTTTTTAAAAAGCTGAATTGGAATGTCTTTGGGAGGATGCTCGAGGTGACCCCAGGTCCCTATGCTCCCCATCTATTGTGTCACTACGAGACAGACATTATCCAACGGGCCTCTACAGTTGTGATCCAAGGCATAGAGCATTAAACATGAAGATAAAGGCAGGAACCAGTGTGACTGGAGCATAGAAAGAAGGGACTCATCTACCTTAAGTCCAAGAAGGCTTCACAGAGGAGGGGGTATTTGGGTTTAGAGAAAGATGAAAGGGTAAAAGGGCTTTGATCATAACCCAAGTAACCCACCCACACCCCTCTTTGTCAGGTCCTTAGGTAGTGGCCCCAGACTTGACCAAAGGGACAGGTGAGAACCTTTCCTTCCAGGCCAGCAAGCCCTCGGTCAAGCCATCGTGATTTCCTTCTCTCCAGGGCATGTGGGAGGCACAGGTCCAGCTATGGGGTGGAGCCTGAACCCACTGACTGGGGGCAGAAGCAGAGGGAGGAAGGAGTGAGGAGGAGGGGTGCGGGTAAAGGAGGGGAGAGGAAGGGGAGGCACGAGGATAAACAGGGGAGGAGCTCAGTGGTCAAGCAGCGGAAATAAACCCACCCCCGGAAATAAAACACCTCCCAGCTGGCCCTGCAGCTGCCACCTCCTCCCTCTGACCGAGCACACGGTCCCTTTAGCCCTTCAAGCACCACAGACCCTACAAATATTCAAGTTCTTTCACAGAAAGGAAAGCACCTCAGAGCCACTAGGAAATAAGTGGTATTTTATTCCTTTTCGTCGCTGTTGAGGAGAGGTCACGACACAGAGAACAGCAGTCCTGGTCACAGCGGCACGGTTTGGTTAGTTTCCACGAGAACACGATGAGCGGGAGGGGCGGGGTCTGATTTTCCACTCTCTTCACGAGCTTCACCCTTGTGCTGTTCCCCCTGCAGCAGGGCTGTGCGGAGCCCTGCCGGGTCCCTAACCCGCAGCACTGCCGCTGCACTTGCCGTTCTGGCCGGTGACAGGCGAGCAGAGGGTGCAGGAGCCCCCGCTGCTGCCTGGCCAATGGGATGTGGACAGAGAAGCAAAGGACCCCTGCTCTCCCAGCTGCCCCTCCCCAGAGCACCGGCCCCAGCTGAATGCACCCCTTCAGCCATCACCTGCCAGAGCCCCAGTCCAGGGGCAGGAGTCTGAGTCCAGACGAGCTGGGCTATAGATGGGCATCTTGGGAGCAGGAAAGGCTGGAGAAGGGGGTGGGGTTCCAGAGCCCACGGGGTTATTGCTGAGAAGATATGCAAGGGGCACGTTCCCCAGGGGCGGAGTAAGGTGGGGCAGATGGGCACCAGGGAAGGGGTGTAGCTGCCCGAGGGCAAAGCGGGCTTATCAGCTCCTTGCTGGGAACCTCCCACTGCCAAGAGACCTCAGAACAGACTCGGTCCAGGGACAAGTATGGAAGCAAGGTTCTTATAAAAGGAGTGAAGACGGGCCGTGTAGAAGGATCACGAAGGTGATGTAAACCTTCCCAAGTCCCAAGCCAATCGGAGACTCCGCCCGTGCCCAACCCCTCCATCCACCCCTAAATCAAGAGAAGGAACTGGCCTCTTAGGGACAAAGCAGACTCCCGGGAGTGGAAGGTGATGGGGCCATGGAGACCAGAGACGAGCTGACAGCCACGTGGCTCAGCTCCTGCCCAGGAAAGTGGGGCCAGGTTCACTAAGATACAATGTCATCCACGAACAAGCAGCCACAAAGACCACATCATCAGACAGACACACACACACAGACACACGTCACAGGAGGGGGACGAGACCACAGGCTGCAGGGAGGCAGGGGTTGCATCATCAAGTTGAGGACAGGTGTCGAGGGGTTGGGGAGAGGGTGGGGAACACACAAGTTCTTGGCTTCTCCTGGGGAAAGATCTGTTGCTGAAGTGGCCGGTTTTCTTAAGCATCAGAATTTGCATCTAAAGGTTCAAGCAGCTGCCTTCAGGTTCTGGAGGTTAAAGTGAGAGAGAATTTAAATTAAAACGAAACTCTGGCTTCCTTTCAAAACTCTTTACCTGCTCGTCTCCCAGCCATTAATTAGGACAGACCCTCTGCCCACGGAAACTCCCAAGATGAGACCCACTCTGAGTGCCTTGTTCTCAGCAAATCACGGAGGACGAGCCTGAGAAGCAGGGCCAGGAGATGAAGGTGGAGGAGGGTGTGGAGCTCAGGAGAAGGGCTCTCTCAGGGGGATAGAACCTGGTAGATGTGGAAAGGAAATTGTTAAACCCGGGATTTCTATCTCAGGACACCTCCAAGAATCGCTCACAGTCCTGAGACTCAGGAAAACAGGGTTTCCGAGGAAGTTCTAGTAAAAAAAAAAAAAGACAACTGCTGGCTCAAGGCTCTCTCCCTGGAGCCTTCCCACACCGCTCCCCAGATTCCGAGCTGGCAGCTGCCATGACATAGACAGAACACCGAGCTGCAGCTGGGATGCCTGCCTCCTGGATTGGATCTATGGCCACGTCAAACTGAGGCATCTTTAACCTTCCCGAGGCCCAGCTAGAAGACAGGAGGTAATGAGCCCCACTCTGCCCACCCTTAGGAAAGAATTCAAATGCTCCACAAGTACCCTGTGTTATTACCGTGATGGTAAAAGCTGGTGTATCAGGCATTTTACATCCAGAAATCTCCTTTAACTTACGATTTAGGATAAAGTATATCCCTTATTTGTGTGGAAAAAAAGGCAGAAGTGAGCTGATAGAAGACTGATCCCCGCCACGCCCCAGTATATTTCAGGGTATGTTACAAAGGGAGACGGGCAGGAGCAGAGGGGGTGTAGTGAAATGCAGCACTCAACTACAAAGCTCTGAGCTCGAGTTCCAGCCGGTTACTTACTATATGTATGGCTACTCTGTCTGACCTCAGTTTCTTCATCTGTAAAATGGGGCTAAACCCTACCTGTCCTTCTTACATCTTCTGGCAGGCTTGAGTGAGTTTGTGTTTGTGGCAGCATTTTGAAAGCTGTAAAGCATTTATTACTTTCCTGCATTACTGTTGATATAATGAACAATGGAAACGGATACTAAATAGAACTAAAAACAGTGCCCCTAAACGTCAAGAACTGATAATGCTGGTATGGGGGGGTCATATACTATTCTCCCTACTTTTACGTAGGGTTGGAAAGTTTAAAAATAAAATGTTAACTTTAAAAAGTGGCCTGAAGGTACTCTCTGAATCATCACTGAAAGCCATTGTCTTTATGCTACTTTGATATTAGGAGTATTCCACTGACTCTAATTCTCTTCCAAGTCATGCCCACGTGGTAGCTAGGATGGCACCCTATCAACTTGACCACTGGGTTGGTATGGAAGCTCTATTTCCCGACTGCTCATTCTGTGTGTGTGTGGTACACCTGGGAGGTTTCAATCCGTCTGCCTCATCACCCTTCAGACGTGAGCCTCCTGAGAGCACAGCTCATAATAAAAGCTGGGCGTGTTGCAAGAGCTAGCCCAGTTCTTCCCTGATGACTCCTCGGCCGGACTTCAGTCAGAACAGTGATGGTGACAGGAAGATGCAGGCAGACAGTATCTTACCTTTGTCCTGAGGGCTGCACTTCAGTTCTCTGCTTTCTGGGGCTCCGTTGCTGGAAAGAGAACCAGAATGGAGGGTAGTACATGAACCCCTCACCCCAGCGGGCCACCCCCTGCCACAGCGATGACTGTGCCTGTCTCTGGGGGAACCTGACCCACACAGCAAAGGTGACTCATGTGGATTTCGAGTCAGACAGACCTGGGGCAGATCCTTGTCCTGTTATTTGCTTGTTAGAGAACCTGGCACGTTCCTTAACTTTTCTGAGTCGCTTGGTTGTAAAATGTGGAGAGTGACGCCTACCCCAAGGGGCTGTGTGCCCATTAAATGAGAAGTGAAGCACTTTGTATCATGCCAAACACTAAGAAGATTCCCTGTAAATAGCAGCCGTCAGGAGCATCAGCCTGTTGGTGGAGGGGAGGGAGTGATGCAGAGCAGAGGCCCCGGGGACCTCCCACTCTGGCGGCACTATGGAAGCACGTCTGACCGGCCAGCTCTCAAGAGACGACGGCACCTGGCAACCGTCCCCGACCCTCAAGCTGTAGGAGAACCCTTGCCCATTCCCTCCATCCCACCTGGGCGGGTGGTCCTGACACTTACCATTTGCAGTGACGAGGTTCTCCACCTGGGCCTCCTCGTCCCCTGGAGCCCTGCAAGAGGATGAAATGCCAGCCCATCAGAGGTCTCCAGGGCAAACCCAGAGAGCATCGCCACTCACCTTGCTGGGGCAGGGCCCTGGGATCCGTCTCCTCCAAGTCATGGTGGATCATTCTCCACCATGGGGCTCATGGGGCGGGGGGAGGCCAGGGCCAAAGGGGATGTAGTCAGGGGAACTTACAGGCACCCTTCAATGTCGGCCCCTGAGAGAGCTAAGTACTGGGAAGAGATGGCCTAGGGCTGCGTGGGGTCTTGGGTTGTGTCCTGCCACAGACTTTGGACTCCTGAGGTCCAGCGCTGCCCTGGGTTACCATGGTGGGCTAATGGGTTGTGCCCTTAGGTGGAGGTAGAGGGTGGGCGAAAGGAAGCCCAACATTCCACAAAGCTCAAAGAACCTCATGAACAGGTGACCACAGGACAGTGTCACAAGTCCTGAAGAGAGGAGACAGATCTCAAGAGAGGCCCGGAGGCCCTCTGCTTCCCTTCTCCCAAGCCCAACTCAAGGGCCTCCAGACAAGGATCCAGCATCTTCTCCCCCTTCCCCCACCCCACACATACATCAGAAAAAAGAAGGATGGGCTAACCCTTGATGTTTTGACCTCTCCTCTGCCCCAAAGACTGCCTGACAATCCTCAAAACTTCCACCTCTACCCCAACACACACAGCCTGTTTCTGAGACAAGAATCCAAAAGCACACTCATTTGGGGTCACACACCACAGGCCCCTCCCTGTCCCCTCTTAGCGTCATCACCCCAGATGTCCACAGCCATGGCATCCTTACCGCGGCTTCTGGTTAAAACCGCACTTGCATCTACGACCTGAAAGGCAAAGAAACCATCCAAGGTCAATGTCCTGGCTTAGCCACAGCAGGGCTGCCCAGTGAGTCTGTGAGACTGTGCGAACAGCAGCCCCGGCTCCTGGGCACTGCACGGTTTGCACAGCTGCATGCGGCGATCCCTGGTTGGAGCAGGGCTCTTCGGCGGCCAAGGTTCAACCGTCAGCAGTTTGGATGGCTACAGCACCATTGTCTGCTTGACCATGTAAACGCAGAGAGCTCCATGCAGCCCAGGCTCACGGGGGGAAACACACGCAGGGGCACAACCCTTGGAGCACTCTAAAGACAGCCCCTGTCTCCTCTCCTGTGACTCCCCCACTCGCGCCCTGATGGGGACGGCAGGGGGACAGCCACCTCCGCCCCTTCGTATCTGTGCTTGTTTTCATCGAGCACTTATTTTGTTCATTCTTCACTGTTTCACTGAGCACCTATTATGTGCCCAGCAGTGTACTAGGCCCTGGAGATAACTAGGAAGACAGACAGCCTCCTTCCCTCTCCAGGAAAGAGAACCGCCAGTCTCTTACACTGTTCGCCACTCACTTCACAGCTGCAGACACTGCCCTTAGAGTGAACAAAGGAACAAACAAACTTACTTAGGATAAGCAGGATCCCCACCGAGAAAAGGACCACAGCAAACACCAATCCCCCGATCCTCAGGGTCTGGTAGTCTGCCAGAGGAACAAGAGTGAGAGATGGAAGAGGGGAAGGGCCAGGGACAGCACGTCCATCCCTCCCCTGGACGGGGCTGTGCCTCCCCCTCCCCACCCAGGGTCGCTGTCCCTGCTCACCATAATGAAAAGGGTCCTTTTCTTTCTCCTGCTCAGCTGCTAGAAAAACAAACAGGTGTGGTCAAGGGGGAGACAGCTACACATCCTGATTCCCAAATATCCTACCTTGTCTCACAGGCCTCACTCCCCACAAAGGAATTCCTGGGAAACAGGGCCCATGAAGCAGAGATGCCCGGAGAAGCACGGAAGGGTGGGCCTGCCTGCCAGGGCCAGCCTAGAAGCCAAAGGCAGGTGCAGCTCAGAGCACCAATCAGAGTCTGCATTCACAGCATCCACATTTATTGCTCCTTTGTATCTTACGTCATCATCAAAAGGCAGGGTCTATTTTCCTCTTGTTATAGATGGGGAAACTAAGACCACGGAAGGACACGTGACTTGCACAATCTAGAGACTGAGGTACAAGTCTGACTCCCAAAGTTCAGGTTAAAAGTCTACAGGGACCTGGTGGGCTTGAGGGCTGGAGCCCATGGGGAGAGGTGGGCAGGCTGGAATAGGGGCTGTGTTAGCTGCTGCCTTCCAGGACTTTCTTTGCTGACTAAAGGCGGGACAGCTGGTCAGACATGTAGAATCTGAGAGCCCCCCAACCCTAGTGTCCCAAAGGGCCTGGACCTTCCACCAGGAAGGGGTACTTACCATTGGCCAGGACCGCCGGAGCCAGCAGGCCGCACAGGTAGAGCAACACCACCTCCATGGCGTCTGGGGACGGAGGGAGGAAAATGACTCTCTGGGTAGGAGACTCCCCACTCCAACCCTCAGCCCGGCGAGGGCCCCAGTCGGATTCCCACCCCGACTCTGAGCTCTCTCCACACGGTGTGAGGTCAGACAACAGAGCCAAAGCAGCTGACGTTTATAGACTCCTTACGGAGTGCTCTGCACGCATGAGTTCAATTACAACAGAATCAGTTCAACTAGCAGGCACTGTGACTAACCCATTTCGCAGGCGAAGAGGCTGAGGTTAAGGAGGTGAAAGGGCACTCATGGTAGCGAGCAGCACAATCTGGATCCCAACGCAGCTCAGGAATGCCTCTGCCCGGCTGCCTCTCTGGTGCCAAAGTCGTGAAACCCGCAAGGGCTTGGGAGATCACATCACCTGTGAACTCCTCTCTGGGCCACCTAGAGATGTGGCCATCTCTAGCTCATTAAGATGTCTGGGACTTTCTGACCTGGTTCCCTACAACTGAGACCCACTGGCGGAAGTTCTTCTTTCTATCAGATTAAATGGGGCAGGTAAGCCAGGGGTTGGGGAGGAAGGCCTGCTGTTTCCTGGACTCTTTAGAGTAAACCCTGAAATGCTGACAGCTCTCCATCAAGGTACCCCTCACGCTCTCACCTCCAGAGTGCCCAGGTCAACTCTTCCTATAGACTTTAGTTCATAATCCTCCAGATAGGTGGTTTGATTAAACAAAGGGAGCACGGAGACATGCTCTCTGAGCATCAGCGCCCTGGTCTCTCCTTCCCCAGAAAGGGCCTAAGACTTCTGCTCATGAGCTCAAGCCCCTGGTCTCTGGGGTCAGTGGCCCCTGGATGGAGGCAGAGGGCAGGGCCGGTTGGTCCCTCCCAAGGATGGATTTCGGTGCAGTTACACACACCTCATTCCTCGGCTTAATTAAAGGAATGTGGTAAAGAGCCAGAGAGGAAAGGGGAATGAAACCCGAAACACGAAAGCCCAAGGCTGCTTCTTCTTTCTTAGTGGGGTGAGGCTGGCAGCGGCCTAACCCCCTGCACACTGTCTAGGGGCCAGGACCGTGCTTGCTCTGCCAGTTCACGCCCTATTCCGTTCCGGCCCCCGCAGCCAGCAGCCCCCAGCTGCCCTTCACCTCCCAGCCAGCAGAGGTCACAAGAGCTCCATCCAGAGTCAGGCCAAGGCACAGACCCAGAACTCTGAACTCCCAATTCAAGGAGCGTTTCTCATAAGGCAGTCATTTGCCTTCAATGCTACTTCATTTAATATTTGTATTTCTTTTAAGTTTCATATTACATTTTATATGTACAAAAATATATGTGGGCTTCCCTGGTGCAGTGGTTGACACTCTGCCTGCCAATGCAGGGGACACGGGTTCAAGCCCTGGTCTGGGAACATCCAACGTGCCGCAGAGCAACTGGGCCCGTGAGCCACAACTACTGAGCCCGCACGTCTGGAGCCTGTGCTCCGCAACAAGAGAGGCCGCGACAGTGAGAGGCCCGCGCACCGCGATGAAGAGTGGCCCCCACTCGCCGCAACTAGAGAAAGCCCTCGCACAGAGGCAAAGACCCAGCACAGCCAAAGATAGGTAAATAAATTAATTAATTAAATTTAAAAAAAATATATATAACACACATGTAATGAAACATAAAGGAAACACCCATTAAGTAACTTAAGAACTAGAACTTTATACATACTGCTACATTTACTTCTATTTTCCTCCAACCCATCCCTCTGCTTTACTCCCAAAAGTAAACAGTACCCTGAATATATATTTTTAATCAGTCCCTTGCTCTTCTTCAAAAAAATAATTTTTAATTAAGATACCATTCACATACCATGAAATTCATCCTTTTAAAATGTATGATTCAATGATTTTAGTATATTCACAAAACTGTGCAACCATCAGCACTAAGAAACATTTCATCGTCTCAAAAAGAAAGCCGGTACCCACTGGCAGTCATTTCCCATTTTTCCTTTCTCCCAGTCCCTGACAACCACTAATCTACTTTCTGTCTCTATGGATTTGCCTATTCTGGACATTTCATATAAAAGTATAATAAAATACATGTCCTTATAGGTTCTCTGAGTTTATTCTATTGTTTTTTTCTTTAGATTTATCTTATGTTGGATGCCTAGTTCATTAATATCTAGCCTTTCTTGTTTTCTAATATCAGCATTTAAGACTATATAACCAGGGCTTCCCTGGTGGCACAGTGGTTAAGAATCCGCCTGCCAATGCAGGGGACCGGGGTTCGACCCCTGGTCCAGGAAGATCCCACATGCCATGGAGCAACTAAACCTGTGTGCCACAACTACTGAGCCGGTGCTCTAGAGCCTGCAAGCCACAACTACTGAGGCCCACGTGCCACAACTACTGAAGACTGCACACCTAGAGCCCATGCTCCACAACAAGAGAAGACACCGCAATGAGAAGTCCACGTACCGCAACAAAGAGTACCCCTGCTCGCCACAACTAGAGAAAGCCCGCGCACAGCAACGAAGACCCAACGCAGCCCTAAATAAATAAATAAATAAATAAATAAATAAAAAGACTATATAACCCTCTAAGTGCTACTTTCACTCCAAATATAAGCTTTGAAATGTGGCTTTTTGATTATTGTTTAGTTCTTAGTACTTTAGACTTGCATTATAATTTATTTGACCTGTGCATTAAGAAGCATGTTTTTAAAATGTCCCAATGCATAGTGATTTTTAATTTGCCTTTGTTACTGACTTCTAACAAGTGCACTGTGGTCAGAGAATGTGGTCTGTAGGATATAGATACCTTGAAATTTACTGAGGCTTGCTTTATGATCTAGTATATGGTTATTTATTTCAAAAATTATATTCTATGTAATTCCTTCACTGTTGGGAAGAAAGTTCTAGATGCCCATTAAATTAAGATTATTAATGGTGTTATTTAAATTTCTATATATTTTCTCAGTTTTTGACTGTGTGACCTTCCAAAAACTGAGATAGGTGCTTTAAAATCTGCCACTGTGAGGAAGGATATATAAATTTATTCCTGTGTCTCTCACAATATTGTAACAGAAAGTTTAAAACTGTTATATTGTCCTGTGAGTTGGACCTTTTAGGATTATATAGGGATCCTGTCTTAAATTCCATTTTACTTTCTACTTGTCTGTGTCTTTATGCATTGTATCTTACCATCTTATAAATGTACAGAGCTAGATTTTTAAAAATTCAACCTGATTATTAACTGTCAAGTTTACTCCATTCAACTTTATTGTGACTATTGACATATTTGGTCTGATTTCTACCATCTGTTCTTCCCTACTTTTCTTATGTGTATTTCTCTTTCGACTATTTTTTTTTTCTTATTCATTTTCTCCCTCTACTGCTTGAGAAATTACACAAGTTATTTCTAGTCTTTTAGTGGTTACCTTTGGAATTTTACCATTTGTATTTTCCATAGACTGAATGTTTGTGTTCCCAAAATTCATATGTTGAAACCTAATCCTCAATGAGATGGTATGTGGAGGTAGGCCTTTGGGAGGTGATTAGGCCATGAGTGGGGGGAGCCCTCGTGATGGGATTAGTGCTCTTCTAAAAGAGACCCCAGGAAGCCCTCTTGCCCTTTCTTCCATGTGAGGGGTCCGTGAGGAGACGCTGTCTATGAGCCAGGAAGCAGGCCCTCATCAGATACTGAATCTGCTGGCAACTTGACCTTGGACTTCCCAGCCTCCGGATCTGTGAGAAATAAATTGCTATCGTTTATAAGCCATCTAGTCTACGGTATGCTGTTATAGCAGCCTCTGAACAGACCAAAACAGTATTCAACTTAACAAAGATTTTAAAAGTCTAAAGTTAAAATGTATAATAGTTATTAGGGACAACACTCTTCTTGAAAAATACAGATCACCCCCTTCATGATATATATGCTATTACTGTACAAATTTTCAGTTCTTTTCTTAATCCTATGAAACAGACGCTAGTGTTTCTATTTCTTGGAAAGAACATTTGTTTAGATTCACCCACGTGTATAGTGGTCAGCCTTCAAGCGAGCCCCCAGTACCTCCTGGTATTCACATCCTGTATACTCCCCTTCCACAGTGCACCAGGGTTAGTCTGTGTGACCAATAATATATGGCAGAACTGATATGTCACTTCCAATATTAGATTATAAAAGGCACCACAGCTTTCTTTTCCTGCTCTCTCTCTCTCGGATTGCTTGCTCTGGGGAAAGTTACCTGCCATGTCTTAAGGATGCTCAGGCATCCCTGTGGAGAGGCCCACGTGGCAAAGAACTGAGAGCCGCAGTTCAAAAGCCCACTAGGAAGTAAGGCTGCCACGAACCACGGAAGTGAGCATGGAAGCGGGTTCTCCAGCCTTCACTGACTGCCACCCTGGCTGCCAGCTTGACTGCAGCCTCATCAAAGACCTCGAGCAAAACCACCCAGCTACGCTGCTGCCTGACCCCTGACCCTCAGAAACTGCGTGAGATAACAAATGTTTGTTGTTTTAAGCCACTGAGTTTGGGGGTAATTTGTTATGTTGCAACAGATAACTAATACAACTTATTTACTAACTCATTTGTTCGTGATTCCTTTTGAATCTCAGACGTCCATCAAGCCATTTTCTTAATTCCCAGAGAACATCTTTTAGAATTTTCTTTAACGAAGATCTATTAGTTGTAAACTCAGTTTTTGTTTATAATTTCACCCTTCTGGTGGACAGACTCTAATGTGATCCCCAATAATTCCAACCTTCTAGTATTCAAACCTTTGTGTAATCCCCTCCCCTTGAACAGGAGTAGCAGCTGGGACTTGCTTCTAGCCAGGAGAGGGGTTATTAGGTGAGCAGGGCCCCTCCTGGGAGTAGGAAGGACACATATCAAGGGTTCCAGGCCACTAGTCACTGCTACACCTTCCCCTCAGCTCCCCCCAATCACCTCCATAGATGCTCACGTTCAAGTTAATCCCCCCCACACATACACACTGAATTCCTAGATGGAGTTATACGATCGTGGGTTCTGCAAGGGATAAACAGG